CGACGATTTTGATAGTCGACGTAATCGTGACTAGTCGACTAATCGTGGCAGCCCTAAATCTGAGTAACCACTGAAACAGAAACGGCAGAGGCAAGACGACTATGAATGCAGTCGGTCATTTACCCCGTGTGCCAGAGGCCTCTCATAGTATTCAAGTTCCTCTTCTTCCAGACTTTTACATTCATGCTTGAAGACAGAAATGAGCAGACACACACACAGTGTATTAACACTTCAGTTGGCTCCGAGCGCACAGACACGAGTATAAAACACAGTTGCTGACTATCATTTAAAGAACAGCTTGTAATCCAGGAACCCTGACAGCGCTTGACAATAAATCAAAATGAGCCCAGGTCTCCGGAGGCTATATGTTTACAAGCCATCACACCCCAACAACATATACCAGTCAGCATGAAAACAAGCTACTACTCTGATAATAACAGACACCACCCACTCACAAGGGAAGTAAACAGGACTGAAGCCCTCTTGGGGAAACACGGCATTTTGTTTTCATCTATGCTACACACTGCGGGGGCCAAATCAGGGGTTCGGGACACATAATTAGAGCAGGAGAGTAAGGGGATACTAAATGGGTCGGCCATGGATTTGCGGCCGAAGACAGGAAGACACAAACAGACACAGATGGCAGACTGCGTGTCACCTCTGAGTGGAGAGAGAGCGAGGAAGTGGAGGAGGAAGAAGGGAGCAGAATGGTTTTCTTTGGGCAGCTCCGAGAGCCCGAGCTGTGCAGCTGGTCTGCGCCACTTCTGGCCTTGAGAGATGAGGGGCAGGAGCAGCAGATGATGATGATGATGATGAAGAAAAAAAATAATAGGTGAGCTATTGCTAAACGTGAATATGGTTGAACTTCAACTTATCACATCTCACACTGCATTGAGATATTATAGTGCTTTACAAAACCTGTAAGAATAAAAAGGTTACATTTGTAGCAGCTTATACATATGACTGAGAAGTAGTTAATAGAATTAGTGTAGTTTCACTTCCTTTTTGTTAGGTTTAGTCACACAACAACCTTATCAAAGCCTGGCACGCACGCACGCACACGCACACACACACACACGCTAAACAGACAATCTGCATAAGGCAAAAAGCCTAAAAACCTCTTAAAAAAGGAAAGACAGTTGAAATATGCTTTTCAAAATAAAGTTTAGCATGGAAAAATTCTCCAATATTGACAATTAAAACGTCAAACCGCGTAGCATATAAGAGCGACTTTCTGAGACATTTCCATTCCAAACACTCCGTAGAGAAGTACTTGGGATTATCAAGATTATTTACAGTCTTTCCAATCGACTTTCAACTAATTTACTCAGCGGCTGGGGACTTACTGTGTACTGAGAGGGAATTTTAAAACGGCAGTGAATTAATTCTCTTTAAACAGGAGAATTTGAGGCCTTAAATCAGTGCTCGTGATGTGAATGTGTAATCTAGTGAAGAGACGAGAAAAAGCAACTTCAGCAGGTGTCAGCAAGGGGAAACTGATTGTGGCAGTTAATGGTGCTCTGAGTTAGGCCAGCCAACTATACTCAGCAGCCACTTTGTTAATGAGAATCAGCTACACATATGGCAACAACCCAATGCATTTATGCATGTAGACGTGGTCCAGACTACCTGCTGAAGTTCAAAATGAGGATTTGAGGTATAATGTTAGGCAATGACAAGACTATGAAATATCGCGATAGAATGTGGGTAAAACGCGCATGCGCAGTGCCTTTGTTTTCATACGCACATGGCGGAAAAATGACGGCGACGGAGAATGAGAAGAGCGAAAGCGGGTTGTTGAATGAAACGGATGAACCAGAATTGGTTTGTTAAAATGCTGCAACTTCAGTGGTGTGGAACTGGTTTAGCTTTTGTCCGTCAGATACACAACAAAGCACATTTTTTGGTAGTGCATGCTAGCAGGCCGTCGTTATTACCGTGTTTTTTGGAAAATATGGCACACTTAAAATCAATCCTTTGATTTTCTGAAAAATGGACAGTGCAGCTTATAATCCGGTGCGC